AACAGAATTGCCAACACTTGCATCAATAAATATTTCTTTTCCAATAAGACAAAATAACAAAGAAAAAGGAGATGCTTTGCCTTCCATTCTTTATGAAGAACAAAATGATGTGAGAAAAAGGGTGAAACCAGATTTTGTTTCTGAAAACAACAATCACGAAGAAAATAATCTTCTCACTAAAATTTCTTTAGACGGTGATAAAAATAAAAGTGCTTCCTCAGCACCTCAATCAATTGATTCTTTAGGATTAATTTCTAAAACATTAAAAGCTAAGAATAAAACATTAACTAGTTCAGTCCCTGCATCAGTTTTAGAAAATGAACGAAAAGAGGAAGAAAAAAAAGAACGAAGAAAACAACGGGAACGAGCAAAAAAAGAAAAACCTATTATCGTCAAAGATGATGACTCTAAAAACCAACCAGCAGAAGAACGTCCTGTTCAATTGATTAATGGAATAATAGCTGAAGAATCAAGTGAAGAAGAAAACCTTCAAACTCAAAAAAAAATGAGTTTAGGAGCGTGCACTGTTGATGAGTTAAAATTAATTGCACGAAGGAAAAAGATTGCTGAGTCAGATGGTATTGAATATCATGTAAAATTTAATGAGACAATTAATAAAACTATTCCTTTAGTTCGTTCTAGTGAAGAAATTAAATATGTTGGGGCATTGAGAGATAATGGAGCTAAAAAGAATATTGCTGAGAATTGGTATCAAAGTCTTTCTGAACAAAAGAAAACGTTAACAGCAGAAATAGAGTATAAGAAACCCAAATGCCTTCCAAAGCAATATATTAAAGTTAAAACAATAAGTAAATATTCTTATTTGAAAAAATCATTTGAACAAATGATCATTTCTAAAACAGAAAAAGATCCAACATTAAAAGATAAAAATGAAATTCTTCCATCAGAAAAATTAGGTGATGGATATGAACTGTCTGACTCAATTTTATTAGATGGTCCAATGATAATTGAAATGGTTAGATTATTACAAATTACTCCTGTTGAAGAATTTATTCCTGATGATCCAAGAGCAAGTAGAGATCATAGAAATGAATTTAGAGAACAACGTAATCCTCAACCCTTTTATTCTTCATCACTATCACCTTCTACTCAAAGACCATTATTAGTCGAAGTTTATTCTGCTTATGATCCAAAGAATTTATTTAGTACATCTTCATTTATTCCTCAACAACAATATATTGTTGGACCAAATGACTATATGAATTTTAATAAAAATCCATATTCTTCTCTCACTTCCTATAATTGAATTGATTGTTTACTTTTTATTAATTAAATTCTTTGTATGGTTTTCTTTCTTTTA